AGAATTGATTGAAAGACATAATACCCATAAGAATGTATCAAAAATTTCATTCAAATATATTAGCATTAAATTGAATTTAAATGCTTTTTCTTATTTCCAGTGGAATTTGGTTTCCAATTCCTATTTTATTGAATAACTTATACCTAATACCAATTGTTGACTATTTTATCATTTTGTTTTACTAGTTCTCAATGTGATATTATGGCTAACAGTTGTTGCATGATATCAAATGATATGTGCAAATCTAACATATTTATAAAATGAGCTATATTTGTATCTTTGTCAATTCCAAAATTTTATATTAAATAAAACAGTGATATATTTCAACATATTTTGTTTGATTTTTAAATTAAATTTTAAATTTTTATTCTTATATTTGTTCAGAAATTTTCAACAAAATTCAACACTTTTTGTTATATATATTTTTATTTTTACCAACCATCTCATATATTTTATATTACCATTAGTAAATAATGTTATAAAATATACAATGTATAATCATATCAATTAATCCTGTAATATATTCCACATTTATCACAATTAAATAAGTTAATTTTATAACTTAATTTCTCGGTAAACAAATATCCATTGTAAAATTAATAATAATAATATTAATAATTAATATCTATAAACTTCAAACTATATTTATACGAGCAAATAGTGCAAAGCTGACAATATAATAAAATGATAATTACCTTTTTTAATTTAGTTGGTTCGCTCTTCTTGATCAGATAAGTCTCGACCGCATGTAATCTCAAATACGGATCTCTTAACTCTCCATTTCCCGGTTCCGTCTCATACAAGCCGTTCAGATAATTAAGTGTTGCTTTCGATATATGAACTCGTCTTTCAATACATATATTAATAGAAAACATATATTTCGCGTCCGAATAGATATCAAATACATATATATTGTGCAATCGCTTCGTCAGTATTTTTTATGACAAAGTAATTACTAAAGCCTTTCATATCATGCAAATGCATGTTTTTACCGGTTAGTTATATAAGTTTGGGACTTTGGGGGCAAACGAATCACATAATAAGGGGTGTTTTAACGAACTTTTATTTTGCATATAAATGCATATTGGGCTCATAAACGCATATAACTGCATATTTGGTCCAAAAGCATATAAAAGCACTAATTTACAAGAAAATCATTACTAAACATGTCTAATCTATTAGGAAATTTACAATTATTTAAGATTAATTGTATTTTATAACCAAATATTAAGTCATAAAACAAATATCTATCTGATTAACATTATCTGTCAGTGTTAAAGTAATAGCTATTGTAGTTCTAGCAATTATTACAGCATTCAAAAATTAGCTATATATTTTTAATTTATATTTGATCTGTAATTTAGACTATTTAAATGTGTTTTTAATGCCTAATGACCATTTTCATCATAAAATTTCGTCATTTTATTTATAAATTATATTAAATAATATTTATATAGTATATTAACAAAATTATAAGTGCATATTTGAGTGCATATTTAGCCACTTTTTAGTGCATATTATATGACATATTTGACTGCTTATAAATGCATATTTTGAAAGGCTTTACTCATTAGTATAACAAAAATTTATTGTAATATGAATCTCAATTGGCCTGCGAGTTACTCGCAGCGGGAATTATCATGCCTTAATATTACTAATATTTTGTAGCATTGTATGAAGCCTGCATATTGTAGTTCGGGCTGTACAGACTATGTGTGTGTGTATAGTGTATATCAAACGAAAATATCAATTTTTCTGTTGCCTAACTTTTAACAGATGTATTGTTTCACTCAATATCTCTAATATGTTTGTCTATAAATTTTGTGTCTAATAAAAACTTAACAACAAATTGTATCGATTGAACACCAAAATACAATTGTTTCTCATTTTCCACTATATTCTGCTGTATTTGTGTTAAAAATTTAGACAAAATTATGTGTCAATTAGTGTTTGAATAGATTTGTTGAGACATTTTCGTGTGCCTGTCGTACGACACGAATCATTAACACTAATTGAATGCATTAATGTTTAGGCAAATTATTACATCCAATGCTAGCCTTAATTACCACTTCTTTTATATATTGCTTTATATCTCTGCAAACAATAGCTTTTTGTGACCACTAATCGACTCGTCTATCAAATACTTTTCTTATTTGTTTTAATTTAAATATTTTCGTAAATTATCTTTTGGTTTATTAAATTTAATATTTTATAGTTTTGCTACTTTTTATATAAAAATAAGTTATTATTTTGTAGTAAAATGTTTTGATTATTAAAGCAATTGAGAGGAGTGTAGAAAATACATGAATAAATGTCTTGGAGTGAAATGTGATGATTGTTAACAGATATTACATGAATTGTAACGTCAAAAGTGAAGATCCATTGATAAAATACAAAGCCATTCATACATAAGTCCTAACCGTTAGCACTGTTTCAACAAAATGAATGCGATATTTAGTCGCTATTTCAGTCGGCATTTCCTACTTTTGATAGTTAGACATTCAAAAGAGACTATACAATAGCTAACTGACCGTCACTTTTGTTTAGCACTGGATATATGTATGTAAACAATAGTTAAGAAGCAAAACAAAAAAAGTAGATACTGTACTTGAAGTGAATGTTGGTCTCAATTAAACAAAAGTGTGTTTCCTTTTTCTATTGTCGTATGTCTTAGTCGTCAGGAATAATACATTTGGAGCTAATATTGTATTTAATTGAAGACAAAAAACGACAAAAAGAAAGACAAAAACGGCAAATGAAACTCAAAATAGTTGGAGAGAGGGAGAGAGAGAGAGAGAGAGAGAGAGCCAACGATTAAAGGCTTTCTATCTCTTTTCTCTTATAGATAAAGAGTGGATAAAAGTTTTAATGACAGAGACATTAGTGTCGATGAAAAGAGACACAAAAATATTTTAAAGCGTGAAAATGTTAGAAGACTTGTGTATATCTATCGTACGAATAGCCTATGGATGTGTTGCCAGTGTTTGGCAAAGAGATGATCGCATACACAATGGTTAGGCATTAGAGATGATGGCAGTAATGGACTCACATTAACAGAGAGAGAGAGAGAGAGAGAGAGAGAGAGAGAG